TGTGATTATCAGGACTGACTTTCATTATTTTTTTATGTAACTTATATAATGATCCAACTCAATCATAAAACTTTCTATTCTTTTTATTTCATAGTTTGATCCAAATGTATCGATTAAAACGGGTCACATCTGTTGATATTTTTGAAAGGTTGCTGTTATATTGCATCTACTTCGTTTTTAGACCTTTAAGAAAATCTTTTTAGGATCTCATCCTATTGATGACGTCAGCATGAAGGCGGTCACTTCTGTTTGTTGCTTTGGATCAGGAATGTTCTCCTTTAGACCGGTTCAGTTTTTACTTAAAGGAATGATGAGAGCTGCTGTTAATAGCTCTAGCCTGACAGTGGAGGTCTCCTCGCTCCTAATTAAGATAATTGGAGTAATTTACTGCAGTTGCAGAATCTGATAATGGAAAGTTAATCAAACTGAAAATGTTTCTGAACGTCATCAGCTGTGCTGCATCAAGGAGTCCAGGAACTCTTTAATGCGTTTCAGGATAGAGGGGCCCACAGCACCATAGATCCTCTTCCCTGCTTTACAGATTCATCCAGTTTGTTGCTGAAAGGTCATCCAGCCGTCTTCATCTGACCCAAAAAAAATTATGTTTATTTATTTTGTTTTAATACATAATTTCTAATTTTAACATCCTTATTTCTAAATTTCAAAATCTTAAATGTTGAGTTGCTTTTTTAGTGAGATTTAGTTCTTTTTTCCTTGATTTCAGACACCATTTTTATGCAGTGTTTGTGATAAAAGGTCAGGTAGAGGCGTTTCCTAGTTATGACTAACAGCTGGTTGGCTTATTAACGCTGGAAAAACGATCTAGAAATTAAAAAATGTCTTTAATTAAGTGTATTTACCCTTAATTTGAGTAGGTAAATGAGAGAGTTTGCCAATGGAATGAGTATTTTTACTCTTAAAATAAGATAATTAGATAATATGCACTTGAAATAAGACAATGCAATTGTATTTTCTTATTTTAAGTGTATTTTTTCTTGTTCCATTGGCAAAATGTCTCTTTTACCTCCTCAATCCAAGAACAAATGCATTTATTTTAAAAATTTAAAAGAATGACTTATCTACATTCCATTTTTTCCCAGTGAATAAAAAGTAATGGTTCCAGTAGAGATTTATGGATCCTGAGATGAGGCTCTTTGCAAATACGATTAAATCATTTTTTCCAGTGTAAAGATGTGGATTCATAACCAGAAATCCTTTATAACTTTCAACGTAAAAAAAAAAAGATTAGAAAACTGCTTCAGTTAGATGAATGTTGAGGGATTGCTGGAGATATGCTACAAAAACTGACGTAAAATAAAAACAACCTGATTAAAATAACTGATGCTTCCCTTCCTTTGAGCAGGTAATATATATGCTCTGCTAATGAAACAAGTGTTTTTGTCTTTAAAAGAAGATAATTAGATATTAAGCACTTCAATTAGATAATGGAGTTGTTGTTTTTTTATATATAAATCATTTTGTTCTATTTGCAGATTATTAAAGGAAAATAGACTTATTTTAAGAAAAATTGGCTCATTCAGTTTTTGCAGTGCACACTGGAAAAAAATCTAGAAATATAAATAAGTTAAAATTTACTAAATTAAGTCTATTCACCTTAATTTGAGCAGGTAAATGAGTTTGACAATAAATGAGTATTTTTACTTTTAAAATAAGATAATTAGATAATATGCACTTGAAATTAAGACAATGCAGTTGCGTTTTCTTATTTAAAATGTAAATTGTCTCGTTCCAATGGCAAGATGTCTCTTTTACCTCTCCAATCCAAGAACTAAAAGAAAAAAATACTTATCTAGATTTCAATTTTATCCTTTGCAGCTTTTCTGCCACATGTGAAAAACTAATATCGGATTTCATTTTTCTGCAACAAATCTATTCACTGGAAAAACTATCTAAAAATAAGCAAAAATGTCTTAAATTAATGGATTTACTCTTAACTTGAGTAGGTAAATGAGATGAATTGCCAATGGAATGAGTATTTTTACTCTTAAAATTGGATATTTTAATAAAATGCACTTGAAATAAGACAATTCAATTATGTTTTCTTATTTTAAATGTAAATTGTCTTGTTCCATTGGCAAGGTGTCTCACTTACCTCCTAAATTTAAGAACAAATGCACTTATTTTAAGAAAAAATGACTTGTCAAGATTTCGATTTTTTTCCAGTGTTCCACATCGATGCTCTACTTTTTTTTAAATCAAAGATGATGAGTAGATGTACTTCAGTTTGTTTGTAATGATCAGCAGCTGGCTGAACACTTTAAAAAAATGTAATCTAAATAAGTAATTTTTTCTTAAAATAAGTGCTTTTTGTCTTGAATTGAGGAGGCGAGACACTTTACCAACAGAACAAGAGGTTTTACATTTAAATATAAGTAAAAGATGTCTTAAATTAAGTGTATTTAGCCTTAATTTGAGCGGGTAAATAAGATGGTCTGCCAGTGGAATTAGTACTTTTTCCTTTTAAAGTAAGATAATTAGATAATATGCACTTTTAATAAGACAATGCAATTGTTTTTTCTTATTTTAAATGTAAATTGTCTTGTTCCATCGGCAAAGTGTCTCATTTACCTCCTCAATTCAAGAAGAAATGCACTTATTTTAAGAAAAAATTACTCCAAACAGAAACCCCACATTCATATCTTCAGGTAACACAGAGTACATGTCAGACTTAATAATATTACTTTAGCGATAGTTTCAAGGTGTTGCTTTATTGTATGTCTCGTACCGTGTCTTTTGGTTGTGCTGTTCTTTTTTTCATCTCGTTACAGGCGATGAAGCAGACGGAAAATGTTTTGTCATTGTCTCCTTTCTATCTCCTCTTTCTTTCATCTTTTGTCCTTTTTTTTCTTTCTCCTTTTTCTTCTTCTGTTTTTCTGCTCTACTTACATTGCAGTGTCCATATAAACTGTAAAACTCCCTGCATAATTATAATAAAGCAATTTATTTGCATGAAACAAGTGGAGTTATATGGCAATTGCCGTACTGCTACACTTGTGAAAGTAAAATCTATTGGGCTCCTTTTGGCATCAAGACAATTATTCTTATTGCCACATTGCCAGACAGGACACTGTAGAGAAAAAAAGAAAAAACTACTCATTTAGATTTCATTTTTTTTTCAGTGTAATAAAAAATTATTGCATTCTCTTAATTTAAGTGTGTATTATCTAATTTATCTTATTTGAAGAGCAAAGTATTCATTCCTTTAGCAAATTATCCTATTTACATGCTCAAATTAAGGCTAAATAATTGTAATTTATTATTTCTAGATCGTTTTTGCAGTGAAAGAACCTTCTCCTCTCAGGTTTACTGAGGGGGTTTTTATAAAGACGGGGCTCTGGAGCTTCTCATTAGCTCCATCAATTAGCAGCTGCATCGGTTCTAAGCAGCCTTCCTGGGCGCGCTCTCAGAAACCGTAGATCCAGGGCCCTCTGAGAACATCCCTGCTGCTTTTCTGTACCGACTTCACTTTAAATCTGACTTTACCTCCCCCCCCCCGCCTCTGATTGATAATCCGGGCTCCCCCATGCATGAGAGATTCCTAACCATAATCTCTGACCTTTGATGATTAAAAGTTGAAAGGATATACGGGTAAAGAGGCTGATAAAGTGATTCCTGTGACAGAGGGTCGATGATGCAGCAGTGCTTTAAGTCGTCCTGTTTGTCTTGGAAGGCCTGCGCTCTTAATGGTGATGTCCCCTGTGACTGATGCAACAGCTTCACAGTTGGTGTAACAGTGAATGCAAACGGCGCTCGACTGTAAGCGGAACAACAACATCGAAACGGTTCATCAATTAAACTCTCCAAAATGTATTGTCTGATGAAAACGCGGACAGGATTTCAACAAATTGCACGCAGCAGCAGATCTGATGGGGATCTGTTTTTGGTAGCCAGCCTCAGAGTTTGCATTCTCTCTGTGGCGTCTAAAGTTTAAACGTCTGTGGATCCAACTCCTTCTGAAAAGTCACTTCAGTCGGTGCCCGTTCTGAAGGAGGGATCCAATCGGGTTCTACACACACGTCTTAAGATGAGCGGATGAAAGCTGTGGAAGAAAAGTTTGTGCTGCAAAGCAGCGATTTTCCTCCTCTTTTGGAGTTTTGAAGGGCTGCGGTGTGCGGGCTTGTGTGTTTCTGTGCACGCCTGTCTGTGCATGTGGCTCCCCACCCCCGCCGCCCGCCCGCCTCCTTGTCAAGGAGCTCCCCTGAGCTTCCTTCTCTGTGCTTTGGCACTAGAAGTCACCTCCTTTGGTGTTCGGCAGGCAGGTACACAACAGGAGCAGCTCTCTCTCTCTGAGCTGTTGAACTTTTCGGGAGGGGAAGAAAGGGAAGGGGAAGATTAAAAACAGCCCTGTGATGTGGAGTGCCGAGCTGCCTCCTGAGGATTCCTGGCATAATAATTTAAATGATCAAATGATACAGAGGAGACTTGTTAGCTGAGAAACAGCCTCCTAGTTGGCCCCATGGGCCCCGTGCTGCTGCGCATGCATTGCAAAACAGCTCCTCTGTTGTGCTAAAGAATCCCCTTTTTTTTTTTTTTAACCCCCTTTTCAGGAGCAGACTTTTTCCACACTTTACCTGAGTGTATATTTGGCACTTAAGCCTCTGTCGCATATTTATCGTAATCTTTCATCAACTTTGCCATTCATCAGCGTGCCGGGGAGCTCATTAGGTTTTATCTTTTTGCTCACGTGGGCCTGAGCTGCTCTCGTGTCATTAGGTCCAACCTGTGAGGTTTTCAAAGGCATCTGAGTGAGGAAAGTCTAATAGTCACTCTCTGGAAACCGGTCTCTGTGGAATATCCTGCTGGAGTCGAAACCGTGGAGCAGAAAACTCTGTAATGTGCTTTACAGGCAGCGCGTGCCGCCGTGAAACAGCTACTTAGCTTTTTCTTTTTTGAAACGCAGCCTTGTATGTCTGTTATGTGAGTCTCATGAGTTTTTATGCACCGATTTGTTTTTGTCTCTCTTTCTTTTTTTGCCACAGATCCGGCTCCTGTGCTGGAGGCCTCCCACTCCCTAGAAGAAAGGCTGCAGAAGCTGCAGAGTTCGGCCCCAGGCAGCGAGGCCCTGGTGCGCGAGATCAGCGGGCACTGGAAGAAACACCTGGAGAAGGGTCAGCCCACAATCATCCTCATCTCATTGACTCTCTCTGAAGGTTCATATTGGGTCATCCGGATCATTGTCTGTCCTCCTACAGGGTCCACAGAGGACGTTTCCACAGATTCTACTCCTCCGGCCTCCCGGATGACCCCTAACAGCACACCGGCCCCTGAGGCCCCTGCATCTCTGCAGCAGAACCACCAGAACCAAACTGAGGACAAACGGTGAGATTCTGAAAATATTTATACCCACAGAACTCCGTCTGTCTAACACTGATGAGACATCAGGACGAAGCTTAATGTTTTTGTTTGTTTAGATTTTATTTTTTTTTTGCAAACAAAGCTCTAAAAAGTGTGCGATGGACGAGCTGCCAGAACCGGTACTTTAACTGGTTCGGCATTAGTCTGTCTGAGTCTTCTTCATGGGTTTTCTTGTTCCCTGCTTCCTCTGTCCTCTTTAAGAAATGATTTCCCACATCATGATGCTGCCAACACCGTACATTAAAGAGGCGGTGGTGTGTTCATGGTCAGTTTTCCTCCAAATTCAGGGCTTTTCACGTCGGCTGTTACTCTGCAGGGCATCTCGCGTCAGGAAACGGGGCTGATTATACGACTGGGAATCGTCGTTTCCTCATGTTTTGGTGGATTTGCACCTGTGCCAAATAACCCCACCCTGCATTAAAGGAATAGTACACCCAAAACATGATTAGCCTTCATTTTCTACTCACCCCCATGCTGAACAACACTCTGGAGTACTTTTTTGATATCTCAAATGCATCTGGAGATCTGGGAGGCTTCTTGCTGTCTGCTGACATTCAAATAATGGAGGTCTATGGCGCCCGAGGCAGAAAGGTCCATAAAAGTCCACAAAAAACGTGTCAATATTCCTCCATACTGCTCGTCCAATGTATTCCAAGTGTCCTGAGTGGGTAGCGTCCAGAATTTACTCGAAACTTCATTTCTGCTTTTTTCTGTGCGGCCGGGTACCAAATGACCCACGGACCGGTACCGGTCCGCGGCCCGGTGGTTGGGGACCGCTGATGTAGACCATAAAGAGGTGTGAGGAGCAGTCTGGGATCCGGACAGGATGTTTGAGTTCTTCTGATCTTAGCTTCACTATAACTCAAGTCTGGTCACGGTTATTAAGCAGAGGTGGGTAAAGTACCCAAAAACCGTACTTAAGTATAAGTAGCACTACCTCGTCATATTTTTACTCAAGTAAAAGTAAAATGTTTAAAGAAATTACTCAAGAGTAAAAAAGTATTTAATTAAAAAGGTTGCTCAAGTATTGAGTAACTGATCTAATTATTAACCATGATCATAACAACTAATTTAGTATTTTTTAGTTATAAAACTTTTTTTTTCCTTCAAAAATTTCTATAGCTCCAATTCACATCATGTCATCTCAGGTCACTTTCCAGTTCACCAGATCATCCAGTCAGATTGATTCAACGTTTTCTATCTAAGGAAAACCAGCTGATTGCATCGACTCATTGCCTCTTCAGCAATCCCTCACACTAAGCATGCTTTGAGCGACAGTAGAGAGGAAAAACTCCCTTTGAACAGGAAGAAACCTCCAGCAGAACCAGGCTCAGTGTGAGCGGCCATCTGCTGAGGCCCACTGGGGTTCAAGGAGACAGAAGCAGAGATACACTAAATATAACTGAGCAAATATAACTAGTTATAACCAGAGATGTCAAAAGTTCTCACTTTCCGTACTTGAGTAAAAATACAGATACTTGTGTTAAAAAATACTCTGGTAAAAGTGGAAGTACTGATTAAACTTCTTTACTCAAGTAAAAGTAACAAAGTACAGGCTTGTAAATTTACTTAAAGTATAAAAGTAAAAGTAGAAACCACTTTTTTCATGCCGTTGCCTACATTTTAAATGGATGTCTGCCAATAGGACTAGATCTCCGTTGTGTTCATTTTCAATCATCTCGTCGTCCATGCTACTATGCTAACGCCACCGCCACCAAGCTGCAATGATTTGCCGCCAATGAATACCGCCGAATCTGTCGATTCATCTTGTAGCGGTGCGTCAAATGCAACGTAGATTCCCATCCAATTAGATTGAATTTGGTATTGATGACGTGAAAAATAATAACGGTAACTCCATTGAAATGATTCAAAACTAAAGTAACGAGACAATTTTTTAAAATGTAAGGAGTAGAAAGTACAGATATTTGTGTAAAAATGTAAGGAGTAGAAGTAAAAAGTCGCCATAAAAATAAGTAGTAAAGTAAAGTAAAAATATCACAAAAATCTACTTGAGTACAGTAACGAAGTATTTGTACTTCGTTACTTCCCATCTCTGGATATAACCCACCTCTGTAATGAAGCTAGCTGAATAGTGTAATATTTAATCCCTTTTAACAATCTTTAAGTTCACAGAATTGATATTTTTAAGCCACTGTTTGCATTTTTTCTAAAGAAACACTGCATACGCTGCAAAAACAATCTAGAAATAACTAAAAATGTCTTGAATTGTTGTAAATAAGATGATTTGCCAATGGAATTAGTAGTTTTGCTCTTAAAAACACTGTTCACACTTTGACCACTGCTGCACTTTTTGTATAACTCGTGCCATTTGAAATATCAATGCAATGTTCATAAGCTGTATGTAACGCAATTTCTGTATGTCGTTCTGTATGCACAGAGTGCATACAGAACGACAAATAAAGAGGTCTAAGTCTAAAATAACATCATTAGATAATATACACTTGAAACATAACGATGCAATTGTTTTTTTTAATGTAAATTGTCTTCTTCCATTGGCAAAATGTCTCACTTACCTCTTCAATTCCCCCAAAAATGCCCTTATTTAAAAAAAAATTACTTATTTAGATAAAAAATTCTCTAGATTAGCTTCTGACCCCACTATTAGCTTAATTTTAGATACATTAAATGATTATCAGGTCAGTATCGATGCTCCTTCACTTCATTAAAGCTACAGTGTGTAATTTTCAGCGACATCTAGCGGTCAGACTGCAGACCGCAGCTACATGAACGTCTCCCCCCCACCGCTTCTCCCCCCCAACAGTACGGCGAGCGTTACGGGACAAAATGTCTTCCACGACGTCCGCATCACCTACCTTCTCAAGTGATGAGGTTTGTTTACATAGATAATTTTACAGATAGTATTTCATTAGTCTGTGTAGGGTATAGATTTCATGTTGACTTAAGATAATAAATATACCCGTTATTTTTTTCTACATCGTTTTGACGTTTTGGAGATCTCGCAATCGCTAGTTTGTTGGCTCTGCGCTGCCGTAGCGCAAAGATGTCTGCCTCCATGGCTGCGAGACCCGCTCCTATGTAATTATAAATAACGAATTCTAAGGCAACGCAAATATTAAGGTTAAGAGGCTGAGCTCGTAGATGATGATAAATAACATAGTTATGTATAATATATTACATTTCTGACTGTATATCCCTGTAATTATTACACACTGTAGCTTTAACTCTCCTCTGTGACCTCACAGGGTTGATCTGTCTCTGAATAGGTCATGTGACCCAGAGCGCCGCTTTCCGTCAGTCTGAGCTCCCCTTAAACACCAGAGACCCTCAGCTGATCAGACATGTTTCTGGTTCTCTGATGGAGGATTTCATCCAGAGGGGGAATGTTTCCTCCAGGACTTGATGAAGCAGAACCAGAACCAATCGGCCTTCAGGGGGCGCTAAACCTGGAAGTTAGTTTGGCTCTAAGTAAAGTCGGTTTAATGTGTGGCTGGATGCTGGATTTTATTCATGGTTTTTATGCAACTGCTCAAATTGAAACATTAGAAGGTAGAAAATGAAATATTTTTTTGGATTGGGCCCCATCACACATCCTTTTATTCCCTCTGAACTCCACCACACGCCCGGCCGAGTCGGGGGGGGGCTGGCATTTTCCAGATTTTATTCTTTCAGCCCGGAGCCTTTTATTGTAGCTTTAAATGTGTGCCCGTGATGTGGTGAAGGAACTGACAGTTTGTTCTCGTAGGGAGGAGGAAGAGGAGGAGGAGGAGGAGGACGGCGCTGATGTTAGTATGGCTGACAGACTATCAGAGGCCGAGGAGAAGATCAAAGTTCTGCATTCATGTAAGTAGTTTAAACACTGCCATGACTGGAGCTGCTGGATTTAATTTCCTCTTATTAAAAAGACACTTCATTTAGAGTTGCCGTATGGTGCCCCCTGCTGAAATCCCCCCCGTCCCACCGCTGCTGCTTACATTAACGACTGCTCTTTTTAAAGGCAGAGGATTGAATTCCTCAGTAGGTAATAGAATAATCTCATCTGCAGACGCTTTGGCTACGTTCACACTGCAGCCTGAAGTGACCCAATTCCGATTTTTTTGCCCATATGTGACCTGTATCTGATCTTTTTATGACAGTCTGAACCACACAGATCATTCTGTTGGTTCCATCTAAAAAAAAAAGAAGCGTTTTACAGAAACTGGCTTTAAAGGAAAAGTCCGGTCAGCACACTGCAAAAACAATCTAGAAATAACTACAAATTTCTGAAATTAACTATATTTTCCCTAAATTTGAGTTGTTAAATATGACACAGTGGAATTATCTTATAAAAATAAGATAATTAGATAATATGCATAAATACTTTTTTCTTATTTCAAATGGAATTTGGCAAAGTGTCTTACCAAACCAATTCAAGAAAAAAAATGTATTTAGATTTCTATTTTTTGCAGTGCAAGGAATAATCAAGCTATTGTTATTCATACCTAAAACCGATATGTTTGCAGTGATTTAATGAATTTAGCGTTGATCAGTAAAAAAAAAAATTAAAACAATATTTTTCGTCGCATTCACTCAGTCTGGGAGCGGCCATTTTTGCCCAAATATAGTAGCCCCTCCCTCCTGCCATCTTCCAGCAGTGACGTCACGGTGCGGTAAGCCTAGCGCCATTCTCCCCGCTTTCCAAGCTAAATCAATGGGACCTACTAGACACATCTGCAATCAACAACAATTATTGAAGATTTCCAGAGGACTTCACCATTGAAATTCACCAGAGCTATAGTGAAACTGACAATGTCCACGTGCATGGCAGCTGGATGCTGGAATACATCGGGGAAAAGTGAAAAAAAGAGTTATTCCACCTTTCTGATTCCTGATCCTCCACGGACGGGTTGGTCGTTGGATCGCCAACTTGAAGAGGGAGGATTTGCCATCGAACTTCTGGCCAGAGAAAAAACCCGTAATATGTAGCCAACATTTGGAAGAAGAATGTTTTCAAGATGACTTGGATAATAGCGCGTTGTGACAAACACCAGATACAGCACTGGGACTTGATCAACAGCCGATACCGCACCGTGACGTCACAAACCAGTAGGTGGCAGTGGTGTTCTTTGACAAACATGGATGCCTCCAGTAAAGCACATTCACATGAAAATGATCTTGGAATAAGTCAAAATTTCTTGCATCAAGTGTATTTACCCTTAATTTAAGTAGGTAAATAAGATGATCTACCAATGGAATGAGTACTTTTATTCTTAAGATAATTAGATAATATGCACTTAAAATAGGAAAAGGCAATTATTTTTTTCTCATTTTAAATGTAAATATTCTTGTTTCATTGGCAAAGTGTCCCACACTGGAAAAACGATCTAGTAATAAGTAAAAATTGTCCTAAATTAAGTGTATTTACCCTTAATTTGAGTAGGTAAATAAGATAGTTTGCCAATGGAATGAGTATTTTTACTGTTGAAATAAGATAATTAGATAATAGGCACTTGAAATAAGACAATGCAATTGTTTTTTCTTATTTTAAGTGCAAATTGTCTTGTTCCATTGGCAAAAAGTCTCTTTTACCTCCTCAATCCAAGAACAAATTTAGTTATTTTAAGAAAAAATTACTTATCTAGATTTAGATTTTTTCCAGTGCATTACCTTCAAGAAAAAAATCACTTATTTTAACAAAATATGACTTATTTAGATTTCTATTGTTTGCAGTGTAATTGTTTTCATATTGAAAGTACTTTCAGAAGTTTGAATTCTGAATATGACCGGACTTTTCCTTTAAATTTAACTAGTAAATCTGTAGTTTTAAGGTCAAAGTTCATGAGTGTTTTTAAGTTACAGGTGCTGGTCATAAAATTAGAATATCATGAAAAAGTAGATTGATTTCAGTAATTCCATTTAAAAAGTGAAACTTGTATATTATATTCATACATTACATACAAACTCATATATTTCAGATGTTTATTTTGTTTAATTTTGATGATTACAAATGACAACAAATGAAAATCTCAAATTCATCATATCAGAAAATTTGAATATTACTGAAGACCAATAAAAACAAAGGATTTATAGAAATGTTGGCCAACTGAAAAGTATGAACATGAAAAGTATGAGCATGTACAGCACTCAGTATTTAGTTGGGCCTCCTTTGGCCTGTATTACTGCAGCAATGCGGCGTGGCATGGAGTCGATCAGTCTGTGGCACTGCTCAGGTGTTATGATAGCCCAGGTTGCTCTAATAGTGGCTTTTAGCTCTTCTGAATTGTTGGGTCTGGTGTATTGCATCTTCTTCTTCACAATACCCCATAGATTTTCTATGGGGTTAAGGTCAGGAGAGTTTGCTGGCCAATTAAGAACAGGGATACCATGGTCCTTCAACCAGGTACTGGTAGCTTTGGCACTGTGTGCAGGTGCCAAGTCCTGTTGGAAAATGAAATCTGCATCTCCAAAAAGTTGGTCAGCTGCAGGAAGCATGAAGTGCTCTAAAACTTCCTGCTATGTGGCTGCGTTGACCCTGGACCTCAGAAAACACAATGGACCAACACCAGCAGATGACATGGCACCCCAAACCATCACTGACTGTGGAAACTTTACACTGGACTTCAAGCAACGTGGATGAAGTGCCTCTCTTCTTTTCCTCCAGACTCTGGAACCTTGATTTCCAAAGGAAATGCAAAATTTACTTTCATCAGAGAACATGACTTTGGACCACTCACCAGCAGTCCAGTCCTGTTTCTCTTTAGCCCAGGCAAGACGCTTCTGACGCTGTCTGTGGTTCAAGAGTGGCTTGACACAAGGAATGCGACAGCAGAAACCCATGTCTTTCATACGTCTGTGTGTGGTGGTTCTTGAAGCACTCACTCCAGCTGCAGTCCACTCTTTGTGAATCTCCCCCACATTTTTGAAGGGGTTTTGTTTCACAATCCTCTCCAGGGTGCGGTTATCTCTCTTGCTTGTACACTTTTTTCGACCACATCTTTTCCTTCCCTTCGCCTCTCTATTAATGTGCTTGGACACTGAGCTCTGTGAACAGCCAGCCTCTTTAGCGATGACCTTTTGTGTCTTGCCCTCCTTGTGCAAGGTGTCGATGGTCGTCTTTTGGACAACTGTCAAGTCAGCAGTCTTCCCCATGATTGTGTAGCCTATAGAACTAGACTGAAAGACCATTTAAAGGCTTTTGCAGGTGGTTTGAGTTAATTAGCTGATTAGAGTGTGGCACCAGGGGCCATCAATTTTGAACCTTTTCACAATATTCTAATTTTCTGATATGATGAATTTGAGATTTTCATTTGTTGTCATTTGTAATCATCAAAATTAAACAAAATAAACATCTGAAATATATGAGTTTGTATGTAATGTATGAATATAATATACAAGTTTCACTTTTTAAATGGAATTACTGAAATCAATCTACTTTTTCATGATATTCTAATTTTATGACCAGCACCTGTAATTTTCTGGTTTCCTGTGGTTTGTCTTCCAGCTTTGAGTTCTGCACAGACCGAGCTGCAGGAGCTGCGGTGTAAATACGACCAGGAGATGGCAAACAAGTAAGAGTCTCTCATGTTTGAAGATTTTTCCTGAAGTCCCCCTCCCCTCCCTGGTCTTTAATGCAGCCTTTCCAGACAGGCCTCGGCTGCATAAAGTCCAGTGTAAAGCTGTGGAACGTCACAGCAGAAGCTGAGAGCGACTCGGTCGCTAATGCAGGTCGATGAGAAAGGTCTGCGTTCGCCTGCTCTGGCAGCTGGGCCTTGACAGCCCTCAAGAAGAATTGCTCCATTTAAAGATTGCTTCAGAAAACACTCTACCTTGTCCTGGTCTTTGGGCGCAATGTATCCAGCGCACGCCTGAAATGAATCTGAGCTGGTATGAAGGATGTCGATAGACATTCAAAGTAAACACTCCTTTGTTTGGGTTGTGCTCCAGAGCACAGTCGGCCGCTGCTAATGGATTTTCTCCCAGGCTTAATCCATGGTGCAATTGAACTGATGTTTCTAGAGCCGCCGCCATCTATTTTCTGGGACTGAACACATTTTAAGGTCTGCGCAGAGAAGGAGCCTGAGAGAGTGTTTCTGTAATGTGGTTTGTCACACGTGGCGATGGTGGAGCGCACTGATCACTTTCCTACAGGCTGAAGGCAGCAGCCTGACCCCTCAGCTCCTTCATTCGCTCATTTATGACGCAGAGTTTCCGAGCAGACGCCTATTATTCCTGATGACAGCTCCCTCTGTGTTGATGAGGACGACTATTTGTCTCCTTTATCTTGAGTAACTCCGACTCCTTTAGGCCTGTCAGTGTCCCTCTGTCAGTTAGACCTGTGAGATTAATCTGATTTGTGCTCCATGTTTGGTTTCTGAATGATGTTGCTTCGTAGAATAAATGTTCTCCATTCATCCCAGTCAAGCTTGGAAAGGTTTAGATACACTGAGCAGTCAAATATAGATACACAAATATAGACTTCAGCAATTGTACATGTACATGTACGACTCCTCAAAAATAAGAGAGAACAAAGATACAGAGGAAATATTGAACAGAGGAGGATTTTCCTGTTCATCCCTTTTTATTTGAGGTGGTTGTTTCAGGGGTGAAGAGAACCTGCAGGACGGAGGGTCCTGAAAACCAGGACTGATTCAACACGAGGCAACAGACTGGAAAAAAGTCAAAATCTAAATGAGTAATTTTTTCTTAAAATAAGTGCATTTGTTCTTGAATTGAGGAGTTAAAAGTACGGTGGCCCTGAAGTGCAAACTGCAACTACAAATCTAAAATCGCAACTACATTAAGAAAAACACAATTACATTAACCAACCGGAAAAGGTAGGTACCAGTGGGAAACATGAGACATCGCTGATTGGACGACGGCGCCGTTTGACCCTTGAACCGGAAGTCATTCTGCCTGCTGCGGCTTTTGAAAACATGGATACTAACTAAAATTTCGTGATTAGTCTTGAGCATATCCAGTATCACCTCGTACGTATGTCCTGATTCAAAATATTCCTGATAACGGCAGCTATGTTTGGGGCGATGTCTCATGTTTCCCACTGGTACCTACCTTTTCCGGTAGGTTAATGTAATTGTGTTTTTCCTAATGTAGTTGCGCTTTGCTTTATGTAGTTTTGTTTTTCTTATTGTAGTTGCGATTTTAGATTTGTAGTTGCAGTTTGCACTTCAGGGCCACCGTATAAAAGAGACATTTTGCCAATGGAACAAGACAATTTACATTTAAAATAATAAAAACACAATGGCATTGTATTATTTCAATTCCGTAAAAATTCAAAAAATATCCACTGGACTTGGTTTTCAAGATTTGAAGACGTTTCTCCACCTCTCCAGGAAGCTTTCTCAATTCAAATGTCTGGATCCGCAGTGAGTTTGAGTCTTATATGGACAAGGCCTTGTATTGCTTGGAAACATGCAAATGGTAACCGATGAATGGGTCGTTTTAGTTCCATCGTTAGCCTGTAATATCTGAACCTGTCTATGATTGTGAAGGGTCGGTCGTTAAGGAGGTATTGTGAACAAAAACATCCAGTGAGCGGCAGTTCTGTGGGCGGAAATGCCTTGTTGATGCCAGAGGTCAGAGGAGAATGGCCAGACTGGTTGGAGCTGATAGAAGGGCAACAGTGACTCAAATAACCACCCGTTACAACCAAGGTGGGCAGAAGAGCATCTCTGAACGCACAGTACGTCCAACTTTGAGGCAGATGGGCTACAGCAGCAGAAGACCACACCGGGTGCCACTCCTTTCAGCTAAGAACAGGAAACTGAGGCTACAATTTGCACAAGCTCATGGAAATTGGACAATAGAAGATTGGAAAAACGTTGCCTGGTCTGACGAGTCTCGATTTCTGCTGCGACATTCGGATGGTAGGGTCAGAATTTGGCGTCTACAACATTAAAGCATGGATCCATCCTGCCTTGTATCAACGGTTCAGGCTGGTGGTGGTGGTGTCATGGTGTGGGGAATATTTTCTTGGCACTCTTTGGGCCCCTTGGTACCAATTGAGCATCGTTGCAACGCCACAGCCTACCTGAGTATTGTTGCTGACCATGTCCATCCCTTTATGACCACAATGTGCCCAACTTCTGATGGCTACTTTCAGCAGGATAATGCGCCATGCATTAAGCTGGAATCATCTCAGACTGGTTTCTTGAAAATGACAATGAGTTCACTGTACTCAAATGGCCTCCACAGTCACCAGATCGCAATCCAATAGAGCATCTTTGGGATGTGGTGGAACGGGAGATTCGCATCATGGATGTGCAGCCGACAAATCTGCGGCAACTGTGTGATGCCATCATGTCAATATGGACCAAACTCCCTGAGGAATGCTTCCAGCACCTTGTTTGGACTGAACCCTGAGGCGCACCTTTAGAGAGTAATGCCCCCCCGGCCTGCATAGCCTCAGTGTTGGGAGTCACAGCATTACATAATAGCATCATTAGCAACAGTTATTATTCCCATAACCTAACTAATTCCTTCTCACATGCTGGTTGCGCTGGTTCCTTATTTACATCTCGATCCATTCAAGCGACTTGGAGCAAAGGCTGATTGGCTGAGGTGGCGTAATGTGGGCGTGCGTTCAGCGTTTGCTCACACAGAGAGTCGATGACTCAGTGACGGCATTGCTTAACTGGAAGAGCTTTAAAATCAAAGGCTCCTGTGATTTGCTCGTTTGTCCGGGAACAAAGACTTGATCCACGTCGGTTACAAGCAGCTCTAATCTAATAAAGCTCCTCTCATCGTCTCGCCATCAACAACACTGACTGACAGCTGGCTGCCTTGTTTTATCACATCACTCTTTTCTTCTTCTGTGCTTTACTGATTTCACTTGCTGTCTCACTGTTTTGGTCTTTTCTCTGAAACAGGGACTCCTGTTTAATTCAATCACATATTATTTCCTTTTTGTTAAACTGCTTGATGAGCTTTACTCTTTAAGGGTCGTTGCTGTTTTTACAGGCAGTTGGAAACTGTTGGTGTTCAGGAATATGAAATTCTAAAACATTTACTTTCCTTTACTATTTCTTTATAAACATTGCACATGGTGACCTTATCTATAAAGCAATGCAGTGTCTGGGCTCATTTGTCCCAAACACTATATTGCCTTTCCTTAAAGGGGAACCCCGTTTTTCTTACATTGTCCCCTTGATTTTACATTATTCCATCACCTATATGAGTTTTGTATCATTTGGAGCCGTTCTGAAGATATTCCGGTTATATAGGTTATATCCAAGTAACGTCTTCCTATGGGCAACGACTTGAAGGCACAAACTAAACTGTTCATCATTTATTCTTTATGGTACGCTGGAGTCACAGCCAAACAGGAACAGACCAGATGAAGCTACTATGAGAAAAAGCAGAGAGAGCAGAATGTTAGAGATTGAACTAACAGATTCTGCAGAGTGGGAGAATAGAGATAGAATGAAGCAGAATGATGAAAAAGGGGTCCCTATGTCCTCCAGCAGTCTAAGCCTATAGCAGCAGAACTATAGAGATAGCTCAGGATAACCTGAGCCACTCTAATTATAAGCTTTATCAAACACCAATCAATCTTTTTCTAACCAACTTGTGGTCTATTGGTCAGTAAAGGTCAGTAAAACAGGATGTGTGGAAGCATCTGAGTCTTTGGTTGTAGATTTAAAACAAACCGTTAAAACAGGCTTGGTTAAAAATTGGTTAAAAACTATGTTAGTGCACAAAAAAACAGTCTTGATGTAGTCAGCTGTAGTTAAACATTACAGCATTGTCAGTATCAGAGATGGCAAAAGTACTCACTTTCCGTACTTGAGTAAAAGTACAGATACTTGTGTTAAAAAATACTCTGGTAAAAGTGGAAGTACTGATTAAACTTCTTTACTCAAGTAAAAGTAACAAAGTACAGGCTTGTAAATTTACTTAAAGTATAAAAGTAAAAGTAGAAACCACTTTTTTCATGCCGTTGCCTACATTTTAAATGGATGTCTGCCAATAGGACTAGATCTCCGTTGTGTTCATTTTCAATCATCTCGTCGTCCATGCTACTATGCTAACGCCACCGCCACCAAGCTGCAATGATTTGCCGCCAATGAATACCGCCGAATCTGTCGATTCATCTTGTAGTGGTGCGTCAAATGCAACGTAGATTCCCATCCAATTAGATTGAATTTGGTATTGATGACGTGAAAAATAACGGTAACTCCATTGAAATGATTCAAAACTAAAGTAACGAGCCAATTTTTTTAAATGTAAGGAGTAGAAAGTACAGATATTTGTGTAAAAATGTAAGGAGTAGAAGTAAAAAGTCGCCATAAAAATAAGTAGTAAAGTAAAAATATCAGAAAAATCTACTTCACTACAGTAACGAAGTATTTATACTTCGTTAGTTCCCATCTCTGGTCAGTATAGAACAATCTTTTGTAATTAGTCATAATTTAAAAATTGGACGTAAACCATTTTGAAAGAAACGATGGCAGCAGCTCTTAGTTTGAGGTACTGAACTCTGATAAAGAGGTAAAAAAGATTACGTCTCCAGATTTGCTTTAATTAATATTTAATATCAGCTCTATGATTGAACCATTACCTGGTGCTAATCAGTTTTTGTTTTGTTTTTTAAATGGTCCATAATGACACTACTAATGCACCTTGCTTTGAGATTTTACAGCTTTTCAGGGAGAGACTCAATATGGAGTTAACTTTGCTCCATTATTGTTGCAAGGCAAGAAAAGGTATTGTAAACGAAAATAAAAAGAATAAAATAAATAAAAACAATCCAAAGAGGAAACTAAAAACATTTTGATCATTAAACGGTTTGAGAGTAACTGCTGCTTTCTCAAATTTACTTTAATTTCTTCAAACTTGACTATGTTTTGATTTGTTTTTTTTTTTGTTTTTTACAAATTTTGTCTTTCAAATTCCAGTTTTTTTAGACTAATATTAATAAATTGCATTTTAAGGATCCCATTCTATTAACTGTAAGTTCAATACAAACACTTCTGGAGCACATATTTTAAAAGGCAAATATAGAAGGAAAGCCCGCCCCCAGGAAGGAAGTGAATCTGATCTAGAAAATGCCAATTAAAAAGAATACAATGCTTAAAACTTAATCTGAAAAACAGAAATCTGAAATAAATAAATCTTCAAAAACAGAAAGCTTCTCTCAAAACCTTATTTTTTTTTATTTCCATTCTTTGCAACAATTATGGGAGAGAATTCCCCCCATACATGGACTGTTAGGCGAAGGGTTTGTAAACAATGAACCAACACGGGTTTAGTAAACGTTTTCTGCTCAGTGGAAGTCTGCTCCTGTAATCCTGCTCTGCTCTGTCTCTCTCTGTGTTCCAGGAAAGCTGAAATCGATGCCATCATGGCGAACCTAGAGAAAGCAAACCAGGTGAGTTCAGACTCTCTGTGTACATTTCTCTGATTGAGAAGCTGCTTCATTAAGGTAATCACTCCTGTAATCAAGCCCTGGCTTTAATTAGACACACTCTGTCCCTGTCCCCCCCATTGCTCTCCCTCCCCTCCCCTGAATGCATGATTAGTGAGTGTAAACCGGAGCCCGTGTTGGTGGGCGCAGCAGAGAGACCAGGGCGATTGATGCCACACAGCTCAACACTGGGGTTCTTGGTTATCTCATTCCCTTGATTGCTTCCCATCCCGGTGATACTTCCTTGCCCCCCCCCCCCCCCCCCCCCCCCCCCCTCTCTCTCTGCCAGCCAGCAGCTCCCAGATAAATGTTCTCAAAATGAATCATTAATTAGCAGGCCGGGTGTGACAGAGCAGGTAAACAGTTTGGGGAATAAAGTGGGCTGACTAAACAGCCCCCTCAGCAGAATCAACCGGCGGCTGCTCTGGCCCCGCTGCTCTGATTTATGTGTGTGCGCTCGCCTTGATCGCGTCATTAGCCGATTGATGTGGCAGGCGTGTAAAAAACAAAACAAAAAAAACAGCGGTACGTTTCTGTGCACAGAGAGCAGAAATGGCTCAGAGGGACGTAGAGCGGCTAAAGGAGCAGCTAGCCAGTGGGGCGACTGCAACGTCAGGAAGCTGCCAGCCAGCAGAGGGCGCCGTCTGGGTAAGAACCATCCCAGCCATGATGCTGCGACTTTTTAGACAGACTTAGCTGGAGGTTAATTCACTGCTTGAAAAATCCAGATTCTTAGAATAATGAAAACATTCCCACATTCATCTTAATAAGAATATGAATCTGTTCCTTTAGGAGACTTAGTTTCTGTTTTTTATAGTTTAATATCATTGAAATTGTAAGACACACAGCCTTACTTTGCTGTATCCAGGGGTGGATTTAGAAAATATTTGGGGCCCTAGGCAAAGACAGGCAGGGGGCCCTCTGAATTGAGCAGACAACTCATAAAACAGACCCATTCTGCAAATAAAGAAAATGTTAATAGAATGTTCTAGGTTGTGTCCCTCTCTTCTTGTCCCTTTTCTTCTTGTTTTCCTCTTTATGTTTTGTACTCAGCTGACTTTTCATGCTGTCTCTAAAGGAATGAAAGATTTTTTCCAAGCACTAAGCTCACTTAGCTGATTGCTCCTTCCTGTGTTTCCAAAAAGGCCAAAGTAAATAACCCAGTCCTTCTTTTCACTGTAGACAAGCCATGATCTGCTTATCTGTTCTCCATTTTTCATTTGGATGAAATAATAGCTGCATGAATCATGACAGCAGACAAGATAGAGGAGAGCAGGAGGCGGGGTTACCAATCTACTTGCTCTGGAGAGCAGAGTTCGCTGCTTTTAGATGTTGTCTCCAAAGTCTCCAGTAGCAGAAAAAAGTCTCTAGATTTGGCGCTAGGAGCTTTTTAGAAATCAAAGTGCTAGAGGGGTCTGAAAAGTGGCTAAATATAGCGACTAAAGCGCTAAGTTGGTAACACTGCTCTTTGCATGGTTTGTTTTCAAATGGTTTGCTGCTGTCTGTTTGGACCTTTCTGAACATGTGCAGCAAATGGACTGATCCAATATGGTGGACACTGAATGGGGCGGGGCTGAGACACACTTAATATTATCAGCGTTCTGATGGCATTTGATCAAAAAATAATTAATGTGCACAAATAAGGAATAGTTGTAATAACCTTACATGTAAACAGAGTTTTATGGGGCACCCAGGGAACTTGGGGCCCCATAGCTTTTTGAGGTCTTTTAGCCTACTTCATGAAGTCAGGATAACCTGAGCCACTCTAACTATAAGCTTTATCAAAAAGGAAACTTTTAAGCCTAGCCTTTAAAGTAGACAGGGTGTCTGCCTCACGGACTAAAACTGGTAGTTGGTTCCACAGGAGAGGAGCCTGAGAACTAAAAGATCTGCCTCCCATTCTACTTTTAGAAATTCTAGGAACCACTAGTAAACCTGCAGATTGAGAGCGAAGTGCTCTGTTAGGAACATAATCTTAAAAAAATAACGTTCTTTTCATAAACAGCACTCTGTTTTGAACATTTTTAGCGTTTCCTCTCTCAGCGACACCTGAAGGTGATTGAATGTAACTACAGAGCATAGAGCAATGCATTTCTAAAATGATGTCTAGATTATAAAATGCATCTCCTCTGAACAAATGATCAGACATTTCCAGACATGTTTAATAGCTTTTATTTATTTTTTTGTTGCTGAATTTTCTTTTTCTTTGTGCCCCCCCCCTAACGTGAAAGGACAAGAACGAGAAGAGCGAGGTGCTGTCAGCCCAGGTGGAGGCTGCCTTGCTGGCGAAGGACCGGGAAATCCTTCGCCTTCTTGAAAACATTCAGCGGCTTCAGTTCACGCTACAGGAAGCTCAGGAGGCTTCGTCCAATCAGATCCTAGAGCTGGAGCGCCAGCTGGCGTACAAGACGGAGGCCGTGGAGGTGAGAAATGACAGAACATACCATACAGTTTGCTTAGATTGAGGATAATGATGTAGAAACAAAATGTGTTTGATTTGTTGGAGCAGAGATTAGAGGCTAAGCTGCAGTCCCAGATGGACTATGAGGAGATTAAAACTGAGCTCAGGTAAAAAGTGCTGCAGCTTGAATCTAAGAAGCCGTAAAGCTCATATAGATGCAATTAAGATCCATCTTCTCTCTCTCCAGTATCCTGAAGGTTATGAAGCTGGCTTCAGCAAACGGCAGCTCGTCTCAGGTACGGCGGCTCCAGCTCACACAGCACTTTATATATTAAAAGTCGTCCATTTATAAAATGAAATGTCTGGGTTCCTTCTAATCATCTGTTGGTGTTTGGGAGAAGAAGGAGCCGCTGCAGTGCTATTGATTCCTTCATTGATCCATCACCCATTATAAGGATATTGACAGCCACTGGTATGGATTCATCAGAAATTAACAGCGTTGCTGTGTGTGTGTGTGTGTGTGTGTGTTTTATAGGATTCTGCCAAGGCTGCAGAGGCTCTTCTGTTAGATAAAGAGGTCTTTCTTCCATCTCAGAAGTTCATGGGAGATAAAAGCAGAATATTGCACAGTAATGGTAAGATACGCCTCACAGTGCTGCTAAAAACAACCTGCTGTCTTAAGCTTTCTTTTCTTTTTGCTTTGCTTATATTTTTCAGAGAATATGTAGAAAAAAACATATTGAAAAGTAAACTGATTCAATAAAAAGGGTGATCTTCTGTTTAAATATTGATGTCATTTGCTACAAACTATCCTGCTCAAAGTCACGGCAGGCTTTGATTAGGCCACTTCACACTCTAAACGTTGTTTTTTGGGCAGGGGTGGATTTAGGAAATGTGGGGCCCTAGGCAAAGACAGGCAGGGGGCCCTCTGAATTGAGAAGACAACACATAAAACAGACCCATTCTAGAGATAGAGAAATGTTAATAGAATAGACATCCATTATCTGTTCTAGGTTGTGTGCCTCTCTTCTTGTCCCTTTTCTTATTTTTTTTCCTCTCTATGTTTTATACTCAGCTCACTTAGCTGATTGCTCCTTCCTGTGTTTCCAAAAAGGCCAAAGTAAATAACCCAGTCCTTCTTTTCACTGTAGACAAGCCATGATCTGCTTATCTGTTCTCCATTTTGCATTTGGATGAAATAATAGCTGCATGAATCATGACAGCAGACAAGATAGAGGAGAGCAGGAGGCGGGGTTACCAATCTACTCGCTCTGGAGAGCAGAGTTCGCTGCTTTTAGATGTTGGCTCCAAAGTCTCCAGTAGCAGAAAAAAGTCTCTAGATTTGGCGCTAGGAGCTTTTTAGAAATCAAAGTGCTAGAGGGGTCTGAAAAGTGGCTAAATATAGCGACTAAAGCGCTAAGTTAGCAGAGTTCGCTAAGTTAGCAGAGTTTGCTAAGTTAGCAGAGTTCGCTGCTTTTAGATGTTGTCTCCAAAGTCTCCAGTAGCAGAAAAAAGTCTCTAGATTTGGCGCTAGGAGCTTTTTAGTAATCAAAGTGCTAGAGGGGTCTGAAAAGTGGCTAAATACAGGTGCTGGTCATAAAATTAGAATATCATGAAAAAGTAGATTGATTTCAGTAATTCCATTTAAAAAGTGAAACTTGTATATTATATTCATACATTACATACAAACTCATATATTTCAGATGTTTATTTTGTTTAATTTTGATGATTACAAATGACAACAAATGAAAATCTCAAATTCATCATATCAGAAAATTAGAATATTACTGAAGACCAATAAAAACAAAGGATTTATAGAAATGTTGGCCAACTGAAAAGTATGAACATGAAAAGTATGAGCATGTACAGCACTCAGTATTTAGTTGGGCCTCCTTTGGCCTGTATTACTGCAGCAATGCGGCGTGGCATGGAGTCGATCAGTCTGTGGCACTGCTCAGGTGTTATGATAGCCCAGGTTGCTCTAATAGTGGCTTTTAGCTCTTCTGAATTGTTGGGTCTGGTGTATTGCATCTTCTTCTTCACAATACCCCATAGATTTTCTATGGGGTTAAGGTCAGGAGAGTTTGCTGGCCAATTAAGAACAGGGATACCATGGTCCTTCAACCAGGTACTGGTAGCTTTGGCACTGTGTGCAGGTGCCAAGTCCTGTTGGAAAATGAAATCTGCATCTCCAAAAAGTTGGTCAGCTGCAGGAAGCATGAAGTGCTCTAAAACTTCCTGGTATGTGGCTGCGTTGACCCTGGACCTCAGAAAACACAATGGACCAACACCAGCAGATGACATGGCACCCCAAACCATCACTGACTGTGGAAACTTTACACTGGACTTCAAGCAACGTGGATGAAGTGCCTCTCTTCTTTTCCTCCAGACTCTGGGACCTTGATTTCCAAAGGAAATGCAAAATTTACTTTCATCAGAGAACATGACTTTGGACCACTCACCAGCAGTCCAGTCCTGTTTCTCTTTAGCCCAGGCAAGACGCTTCTGACGCTGTCTGTGGTTCAAGAGTGGCTTGACACAAGGAATGCGACAGCAGAAACCCATGTCTTTCATACGTCTGTGTGTGGTGGTTCTTGAAGCACTCACTCCAGCTGCAGTCCACTCTTTGTGAATCTCCCCCACATTTTTGAATGGGTTTTGTTTCACAATCCTCTCCAGGGTGCGGTTATCTCTCTTGCTTGTACACTTTTTTCGACCACATCTTTTCCTTCCCTTCGCCTCTCTATTAATGTGCTTGGACACTGAGCTCTGTGAACAGCCAGCCTCTTTAGCGATGACCTTTTGTGTCTTGCCCTCCTTGTGCAAGGTGTCGATGGTCGTCTTTTGGACAACTGTCAAGTCAGCAGTCTTCCCCATGATTGTGTAGCCTATAGAACTAGACTGAAAGACCATTTAAAGGCTTTTGCAGGTGGTTTGAGTTAATTAGCTGATTAGAGTGTGGCACCAGGGGCCATCAATTTTGAACCTTTTCACAATATTCTAATTTTCTGATATGATGAATTTGAGATTTTCATTTGTTGTCATTTGTAATCATCAAAATTAAACAAAATAAACATCTGAAATATATGAGTTTGTATGTAATGTATGAATATAATATACAAGTTTCACTTTTTAAATGGAATTACTGAAATCAATCAACTTTTTCATGATATTCTAATTTTATGACCAGCACCTGTATAGCGACTAAAGCATCGTTTGTTTTCAAATGGTTTGCTGCTGTCTGTTTGGACCTTTCTGAACATGTGCAGCAAATGGACTGATCCAATATGGTGGACACTGAAGGGGGGGGGGCTGAGACACACTTAATATTATCAGCGTTCTGATGGAATTTTAGCCAAAGGATTTTAATTAAAAACATAATTAATGTGCACAAATAGGAATAGTTGTATTAAACATACATGGAAACAGTTTTATGGCGCCCCCCAGGAACTTGGGGCCCCATAAAACGTGATGTCAGACTGGTACTCATTACATAATGGGTTTATTCCACATTTTGATGGTAAAACATGAAGATTAAATTAATGTAAAATATGATAGATCAATGAATATCATTATTAACTGATAAACAATAAATATTCCAACAAATCAATAAATCAGTTAATTTAATTGAAAAAAAAAATGCTCTAGTCAATTATTTTTATTATTAAGATTTATGATATTAGACTTATTTGGTTGATTTTATATTTTATTATTTTAGGATGTTGATCCTTTTTTTTCCAAGATTTACTTCATAATATCATTTTTATGAATACCTTATTTTAAGGTATTTTATTCAATTATTTATTTGAAGATATTTGTAATAATGTATTTATTATGTTTAGGATATATTTATTTCAAGATTTATTTATTTTATTATTCTTAAATATTTATTTCTAGATTAAGTTGTTTATTTAATAACTTATTTATTTTAAGATTTTTGTTTATTGCAAGATATTTTTATAGATTCATTTATTAATTTTAATATTTATTTATTTGCAGATTTTTTTATAACAAGATATCTTTCAAGCTGAATTTATTCATTTTAAGATTTATTTAATTAATTTATTTGATAATGGAATGTTATTGTCTCTGATCAGATGATGAGCCGTCTGAGGATGCAGGCAGGGAGACCATCCGGCCCCCCGGCTCCCATTCTTCCTCCTCCCAGGCCGAGAGCCGGGCCTCCCCCAGCCCGGGTCCCCCTACCTTGGATGGTTCCTCCTCCGTCCTCGACCTCCCCCGTCCTTTCTCTGTGTCCCCGTGCTCCACGGACAGATTGTCAGCAGACCACCTCCTCCACAAGCAGCTCCTCTCCCCACATTTTAAAAAGGAGGGCCTCATGGCTTTCCCCACCGCCCTCTATGCAGCAAAAGTTGCACTGATGTCAGCCTCCCAAGGGTCTGCGGGGGGCAGCGGCGTTGAAGCCGGGCTGCCCAGCGACCAGTCGGAAAGCGGCAGCTCGAGCGCAGGAGACGAGGACCAGCTGGACACGGCGGAGATCGCCTTTCAGGTGAAGGAGCAACTGCTGAAGCACAACATCGGCCAGCGGGTGTTTGGCCACTACGTGCTGGGCCTCTCCCAGGGCTCGGTGAGCGAAATCCTGGCTAGACCCAAACCCTGGAGGAAACTCACCGTGAAAGGAAAAGAACCTTTCATCAAAATGAAGCAATTCCTCTCCGATGAGCAAAACATTCTGGCCCTTCGGACCATTCAGGTCCGGCAGAGAGGTGAGTGGGAAACAGAAGTGTGGATCAACACAAGGTGCAACAAAATCATGCAAATTAGGACCTAAAGGTTGTCATGTTCGGATTAAGGTGTCTAACCCACATGCAGAACACTCGGAGGCAGAAGAAAAGTTCAGAGATTTATTTACAATAAATGTACAAAGTTTTATCAGATCAGAGAGATTAGTGGAGGTCCGGGTGTTTTGCAGGTTGAGAGTGTTCAGGTCTGTACCTGTTCTGGAGTGGAGCAGAGCAGCAGAGGGGTGGAACCTTGAGGGTCCAGAGGTTGTCGGTAGGCTGAGGGCAGAGGCGGAGGCAGAGCTTACTGAGTGCAGGCAGATCACAGATTGAGTTTCCTTCCAGTAATCTTCTGAGAGCGGGCAGGCAGATAGTTGACAGAGACAGCTCTCCAGGGTTCTACTGAGAACGAGCAGACAGATCACCGGCAGAGAAACTCTCCAGAGTTTCAGGTATTCAGGCAGGATCAACCTGGGAAGCAGAGAGGAGAAAACGGGATCAGGTTTGGTTCACAAAGTCAGAGTTCACAGACAGGCAGGTTGGCTCAGGCTTGCTAACCGTTACTGGCAAACACTCTGGCACTGGAGTGAAGCCCTCCGCCTCCTTAAGTACAGATCTCCTGATGAGCAGATGGGAGACAGGTGGTGCGGTCAGCTCAGGCTCCAGGAGATCTCGTACGCCCTCTGGTGGAGAAAGTGGACAAACCTCCAGATCCCAACAAAGGTCTATTTTTAATTGGATTATTTACATCACATTTTATAGAATCCTTTTTCTCTGTATTAACTGCTGAAGGTCTTTAGGGGGGAGTCCCTTCCATTTCAATTTAGGTCTCTTTTAAATAAAGGGTGGCTCAGTCCGCCTGTTAGAATCAGTGTTCACGCTAAAGGCCTGGAACGTCCCCCTCTGACCCGTTTCAGCTCTTATTCATCTTCTAATGCTGCGTTCACACCGGGCACATTTTCAGCTGCAAAGCGTCTGTTTTACATGCAAAGTCTATGGAGGACGGCGTCAGGAGGTCCAGCTGATCGTCTAACACTGGAGTTCAGAAAATGTAGCTTTTGCTGCTGGACGCCGAAGCGTCAGCCAATCAGAAAAGCTGATCCAGGAGTTTTGTGGAGGCAGACAGACTCTACCTATGAGCTGTCATTGCTTCTGCAGACATCCTTCATATTAAAAATAAATAAATATCAAGGAATTAAATTCCAAAGGTATAAAAAAAAGCTGGAAGAATGGATTGTTATGTAGAAGGGACAAATCTGATCATTATTGCTGCACTAATACATTTTTTTATGAACTATGGAGAAACAGTTTATAAATACCCAAATTAAAGGTATAGAGGATGACCTTTTTTTTCCGGGTGGATCATCTCAATAAGTGGTCCTCCTAAGTGTCAATTATTGTGGTGATATGTTTACATAATGCACTCTATCAGGCGTATATCTGTGGTGAGCTACAGTTTCAGACAGTCATTGAAGCTCACCTTTCTCACCGCAGTTCTGTGAAAATGGCCGAGGGTCGTAAGAGAGAAAGTGTCTATGAAGTGTATGAGAAGAGGGCAGATATATCCCAGAATGCTTTGCATGGAGAGCTGTCCTTGCAAAGCATTATGGGATTTGCTGTCACAGCGGCCAGCTGTCGCCATAGGCTGTCGCTACATGACAGCGGAGACTAATAACAAAGATGGCGCAGGCACCGCACGCTGGAGGAGGAGTTACGTGACCAACGGATCAAAAAGCAGTGATCATCTGTCTGAACAGTCAGTTAACTGGGTCCACTATATAGTCCCCGCTGTATGTGGACACAGTAAGCGTGTGTGAGCCATGACAACAGGCGTTTTAAACAGAGCGTGCACAAGGAGAAATGGGCTCATTATTCTGCAGAGTGCATGGTTTTGCACGGGTTTTTTATTTAAAGTAAAAAGGGCGGATCTCTTAACAAATCTCCACAATATATTTGTCTCAAAATGTTAAAACCTGCCAATGAAAAATATTGTATATTCTGGTACTTCCAGTTTTTACCAGTGGTGGCTGGTGGAGTTTTCTCCAAAGGGGTCGCTATAACTTCAAAATAGACGTATACCAATCAAACGTGTACTAAGGTATCACACCCGTATATTTATATGAATGCTAACAACAAACAACAACATTTAACAACATTCTCCAAGATGCTTTAAATTAGTCATAGCTGTCTTAATTAATGCTGGGTCAGATCCTGACATTTGAAAAAGAAAGGCAGGAAAAGCAGAATACAGCCTTAGCCTCGCTGCATGCAGTTAGCCAAGCCAAGTCACAGTCTTGGTTCTGGTATTATTTCTTTTGAGTATTTAATTTAACTTTGCTCCATGTTTTCTAGTTTTATTGGTTTGATTCTTATTTTGTTGTGTTTTCTGGTTATGTTTCAGTTCTTAGTTTTTTATTTGTTGGTCTTCATTTCCCTAGCTCCTTAGACTGCTCTCTTCACACCTGCTCCCAATCTGCTCGTTAGTCCTCTCTTTGTTCAGTTAGCCATAAATACCCTCCTTATAAGTTCCTCAGAGCTGGTTCCTCATCTAACTCCGTCTTACTTTGTCTAACCCCGTCCTGATTGTTTTCCCCTGATCTCTCCATGGTTCTGGTTTGTTTATATTTTTCATGTTGGATTTTTGGGATTTTTGAATTCCTGCCTCAGTTGTTTGTGAACCACTCATTAAATTTGCAAAGAACTCAGCTCTGCCTCCCTGCCTCTGCATTTGGGTCCTCAATCCTCAACCAAACTAGCTAAAATTATTTAGCCTTGTTGCTAAATTATTCTATATACCTGTCAATCAGCCGCCCTTTCTAACGGACGACTGTGATGTCAGCGCCGTGGAGGGAGGTGGTGTGCAGATAAAGTTGGTGAAGCAGAGCTGCTCCCCAGGATGGTCCAAGAGAAGCTACTGCACATGGACGACTTTAATACATCACCAATCGGACAACAAACAAAACAGCTTTACTCTTCATTAAAGATTAAATATCTATATTGTACATCTAAAAAATAGCTTAGTATATTTGGAAATCTTTTCTTTTTTTTTTATGTCTTAAGGTCATTGGGCGGGTGGGGCAGCACACTAGCGCCCTCTATTGGCCAGCCGCCTCTGCTTTTTACCACAAACATTAAAAACAGTGTTGCCAACTCAGCGACTTTGTCGCTATATTTAGCGACTTTTCAGACCCCTCCAGCGACTATTTGTCAAAAAAGCAACTAGCGAAAAATCTGGCGACTTTTTACGGTGTCACTGGCGGCTTTTGGAGACTCTTACGTGAAAGCATGTATCGTTCCTACTCTGCCGTGGGGCGCCTCCCACATCCCAACCCCGTTCTCCCGCAGGAGTCCCTCTCAGCGCTGCAGTCAGAGCCGCAGGATGTTTATCCTCAGCGTCCAGACTGCAAATGAAGCGCGCATGCGCCGGGATTGACGGCGCAAATTGATCACAATAATTAAAATATATAAATAAAAAAATAAATAAATAAACATTAATGGACAGAAAAAAGTAGCTCTATATATTGTTTAGTAAAGTGAGTAAAAACACTATTATATAGTGATTTAACCCACTTTTTGTCTTTCTGTAACGACATTATTTGTCCCACAGCATCAATAACATGCACATCACTTCCTGTGGCAGATTATGCAAATTAGTCGTCATTTAGCGACTTCTAGCGACTTTTAGCACAGCCAATAGCTACTTTCCTTACTGAGGAGTTGGTAACACTGATTAAAAACTCTTTCTATTCACCTCCAGCTGCTACGAAGGGGCAGCGGGAAAATCCCCCACAGGCTGGCCGCAGCCGAGAGCTTTCAGCGGGGATTTGCAGTGCTACCTCCCTGCTGGAGGTCTGGCACTCCCACCAAGAACTGCATATTTTAGTGGGATCATAATCCTAATGAACTGATGAACAGAGGATGTTTGGAGGTGAACTTTCTAGTTTAAAAATGAGTCAAAACTATTTTTACAACTGATAAAATAAAGCTATATGAAGTGAATTAAAGCTGCTAGCTTGAAGCTACAGAACAGAGCAGATAAACAGCCAGAGCATCGAAGCAGCAAAGCGACAGACCGGCATCTGACTCAACGTCTAAATTCCGATGTTTAAGCGTTCTTACAGCGCTTCTGGTGTGAACACAGCGTAACAGGTTTACTTCCAGGATTCTCTGTTTATTTGTTTAGGTCCATCCTTCTTCCCATCATCTTCAACCAACTTCCATCTACCTGCTGAAGCACAGTCTCCCCACAGCATGACATAGCCACCACCGTGTGTTGTTCAGAGTAAAGTACAGTTGCTCCACTGTTTAAATATTTTGAACGTGTTTTTGTAAAGTGTTAGGTTTATTCAATGATGATTATAAAATTAATGTATGTACATATAAAACATTGAAGAAATGAGATGCTTCACGCTGTCTTATGATTCAGGAGGGGGGTCTGAGAGAGGGTTAGTGAGTTGGGTGTAGCTCTTTCTCCTTCTGCAGAAGCTGTTGAAAATCCCCTTCTGTGTGGACTCAGTCCCTCTTTTACGAACATACATTTTTGAACCTAACAGAAAGTTCGGAAGCCAGCAGAAAGGATGTAGAAACCTTTGCAGGACGTCATGGAGTCATTTAAAAAACCTTTTCTACCAGATCCTGTAGTTCTGCAGACGTTAGTCCGGACCTGTGGAAACCTTTCCTAATCCACATCCTTGACTTCATCACAACTTCCTCCACCATGTTTATAGTCTTACTTCTAAACTTTGTTTTCTCCCTAGATTTACAGCGTTTGAAAGTTGAGCTTCCCGTACACTGCAGCCTCAGACGGCGTGCGCTCAAAGGCAGCCATTGATCTGGCAGTCAAAGCAAAGTCTTGGAACTGCTCTCTGATCAGCCATCCCACTCACCCCTCCTCTCCCTCTTTCTGTTACCCTCTGTGGCAGGGAGCATCACTCCGCGCATCCGAACTCCTGAAACTGGGTCAGACGACGCCATTAGGAACATCTTGGAGCAGGCCAAGAAGGAGATCCAGTCTCAGAGGGGGGGTAAGGAGGAAAAGCTGCCGGCTAGAAGTCGCAGTTTAAAGCTACATTGATTAGTTTATATTTTTGAATCACTGTTTTTTAGTTTTTTTCTTTTTATCTCTATTCTAATTGATCCGAGCTGAAGAGGTGAATCAAGGCTGCATGCGTGTCTGTGTGGCTTTTTCTTGTTTAGGTGAAGGCAAGTCATCTCTGAACAACTCATCTGGCAGAATCAGTAACGGAGCAGGCAGCAGCTCTGATGAAACTATAAAGAACATCCTGGAGCAGGCCAGGAGGGAGATGGAGGCTCAGCAGCAGGCCCTGATGGAGATGGAGGCGTGCGGACGGTCCTCCACCTCCAGCTCAGGGGTTCAGGTTGAGCGCCTGGGGCCCCCTGAGCGCTCCAGGGTCCTGCCTTTGCCCATCTCCATCAAACAGGAGGAGGGGGGGTGCGTGGCGGTGTGCATGGCCAGCTCCATCAGCAGCCCCCAGACTCCGCTCAGCGTCCTCTCCCCCGCCGCTTTTGTCCAGAACATCATTCGTAAAGTCAAGTCGGAGATCGGCGAGGCGGGGACTTACTTCGACCAGCACTGGTCCCAGGAACGGGGGGCCATGATACTGGGCTCCCGGCCCTTCAGTTCCGTCTCGCCTTCCTTGTCCTCTTCGTCCTCTGGGCCCCCCACCCTGCCACGGTCCTGGCCTCGCCTGGAGAACGGCGACGGCCTGGCCAACAGCGAGGAGGTGTCCAACGCGGACGACGAGCTGGGCTTGGGCCGGCCAGTGGAGGTGAAGGTTGAGTCGGACACCTCGGTGAGCGGCGAGTCGCCAGGGCCCGGTCCGGGGCGCCTGTCCTACTACCCGGCGTACATCCCGCGAGCCCTGAAGCCCACCGTGCCGCCCCTGACCCCAGAGCAGTACGAGATGTACATGTACCGGGAGGTGGACACCATCGAGCTGACCAGGCAGGTGAAGGAGAAGCTGGCGAAGAACGGCATCTGTCAGAGGATCTTTGGAGAAAAGGTGAAGAGGTTTCACTAATCTCTGCAATAAAAGGTGAAAATGTGATCCAACGCGTCTAGCTCAATCAGACTCTGGTTCATTTATCAAACTACAAACCTGAAATGTTCTTTATTGGGGTGGAGTTGGTCCCAGCGTTCTATAAAAATAGTCTTAATCTTCCAGCCTTTACGAACTTTTCAGGTTTTTCTCATTTAGCTAGGCGGTAAAGGCTAATGACTAGCTAGAGCTAACTTTTAAAGGAAAAGTCTGGTCGGCAAGGAATAATCAATGGATCATTATACCTAAAATTAATACATTCTTGGTGATTTAATGAATTTTGGCGTTAATCAGTAAAAAAATTAAAACAATCATTTTCTTACACCTCCCTCCTGCCATCTTCCAGCAGTGACATCACGGTGCGGTAAGCCTAGCGCCATTCTCCCCGCTTTCCAAGCTAAATCAATGGGAACTACTAGACACATCTGCAATCAACAACAATTGTTGAAGATTTCCAGAGGACTTCACCATTGAAATTCACCAGAGCTATAGTGAAACTGACAATGCCCACGTGCATGGCAGCTGGATGCTGGAATACATCGGGGAAAAGTGGAAAAAAAAGAGTTATTCCACCTTTCTGATTCCTGATCCTCCACGGACGGGTTGGTCGTTGGATCGCCAACTTGAAGAGGGAGGATTTGCCATCGAACTTCTGGCCAGAGAAAAAACACGTAATATGTAGCCAACATTTGGAAGAAGAATGTTTTCAAGATGACTTGGATAATAGCGCGTTGTGACAAACACCAGATACAGCACTGGGACTTGATCAACAGCCGATACCGCACCGAGTTGCTGTTCTCATGGCTCATACAAGCTTACTGTGTCCGATTGTCCGCTCTAACCCCTAAATCCCTCCATCACTATATAGATCGGGGACTATATAGTGGTCCTTATAGGGAACTTATTTAACTGACCATTCGGACATAATATTTATTTTTCATGGCCTGATTTTTGCTTCTCTCTATATATAAATATCATCGGAATAAAAGAATAAAAAAATCTTACATTACCAAAAGTACTGGCCTCACCTTCATCACTCACCTCTGGCCCTCACTGACATCCCATAATTATTTAATGGGGTTCAACATGACGTGGGTCCTCGCTTTACAGCTCAAACAACTGCAGCTTTTCTGGGAGCGAAAATACCAAGTTGAGGCGTCTGTTCATTGGAATTTCTATCATTCCTCTAGAAGCAGATTGCTGAGGTCTAGATCTGATCTAGAGCTACGGAATATCAGCTGAAACATCCATCCATTAATTTCCGTCATGCTTATCCCAAGTGGGGTCGCAAGGGGTGCTGGAGCCTATCTTTAGCTGTCTACGGATGAGAGGCGGGGTCCACCCTGGACAGGTCTCCAGTCCATCACAGAGCAACACAGAGACAAACAACTATACACACATTCACACCTAAAGAGAATTTAGAGAAGCCAATTAACCTAACAGTCATGTTTTTGGACTGTGGGAGGAAGCTGGAGTACCTGGAGAGAACCCACGCATGCTCAGGGAGAACATGCAAACTCCATGCAGAAAGACCCCGGGCGGGGAATCAAACCCCGAACCTTCTTGCTGCAAGGCAGCAGTGCATCACTGGAAAGACTCAAAATCTACATAAGTAATTTTTTCTTAAAATAAGTGCATTTGTTCTTGGATTGAGGAGGTAAAACAAACACTTGCCAATGGAACAAGACAATTTACACTTTAAATAAGAAAACACAATTACATTGTCTTATTTCAAGAGCATGTTATCTAATGGTCTTATTTTAAGAGTAAAATTACTCATTCCATTGGCAAACTACCTTATTTACCAACTCAAATTATGGCTAAATACACTTAATTTAGGAAATTTTTACTTATTTCTAGATCGTTTTTCCAGAGCGGAACAATTAATCATATTAATTCTGTTTAATCATTCTTGAAAATAATGTTGTCTAATATATCGATTTATCAATAACTGGAGATACTTTATCACATCCTATGGGCTGTAAGAACAACCATCTCAGGGCGATTATTATACCTAAATTGTAAAAAAAAATGTATAAGTTGAAAAACCTTTTGTCTGTAACTTTAGCATCACTTTGCTTTAATTATGCATAACATCTTAAGATGTCTGATCATTAATAAATTAATTGGGGGAGGAGGGGATAATTGAGAGTGAAATTGATTAAGAAACTAATCGTGCTGTAGTCAGGAGCTCATCCACACCAAGCCGTCTCCTCCAGGCCCTTCTGGACCTTTCTCTCTGCTCTGCAGCTCAGTCATGTTGGAGGTGGACGAAGGGTCAGCTTCCAAACTGTTCCAATAAAGTTAGGATCATGGAATCATCCGGAATATCTTGGACTGCTGAAGCGTTTAAATATCCTGACGCCGGTACTAAGAGGCTCCAGCTCCTGAACCCGGGGCCATGGAGGTGCCTGGAGACAGAGTTCAGTCATTTAGGTGGAGGAGTGAATATTTTGGGTGTAGTGGTGTTCTTTATCAATGGGTAAAAATATTTGTTTCTCTGTAGAATAATCTTCTAAACAATGCAATGTTTAAAATGTAGTCGTTATAATGTTAGTAGTTAGTTTTTTTGGGTTATTCAAAACCATTCTTTACAATTTATGGTTTGAAAAGGAGCAAATATTAGTGGTGTAATGTCTCCCTCTAGTGGTAGCTTGTTAAATGTTGCCTATTTTCATCAGAAAGAGCCTCAATTTTATCCTGCAGTTAAAAAAACAGCTTTAGCAATCAGTTGGCCAGCTGATGACTAAGATGTCTTATAATTAACTTTATGTCTTATAATTGAATCAATGAAAATTAAGAACTTCCAGCATCAGGAGTGTTCTCCATCACTCTATACCCAAACTGCATCACTTCAAGGGATTTTATTTAAAAAAAAACATCCACCTTGGGGAGCAGTGGGCTGCTACTGTGCAGCGCCCAAGGAGGAATGTGGGGTTAAAGGTCTTGCTCAGGAACCCAGAGTGGAGGCTTGGGGGGATCGATCCGGGTAGCGCACAAGACAACACTCGCCAGGTTAAAACGTTGATGCATTAATATAAATACCAAACAAAGTTTTAAAAAACAAACCACTGGACTTTGTTTACCAAAAGTTTGAAGATGATACACTTCCCAAAATTTTCCTTTTCAAAACTCTTCCTGGATGGGAAGCGAAAGGTCTTCAAACTTGGAAAACAAAGTCCAGTAGATTGGTTTTTACCTTTTTTAACTTTGTTGGAATGACTATGACCTGGATGACTGAGAAACTTCACCAGCATTAATATAAATGATTTAATTGGAAGCTCGGACCACAAAGGAAACCTGAGGTTAAGATAAAGCGGAAATGGTTTTCCTTTGGGATAGGACTAAACCATGACTTCTGTTTATGCTGGCCAGGTGCTGGGCCTTTCTCAAGGCAGCGTCAGCGACATGCTCTCACGCCCCAAACCCTGGAGCAAGCTGACCCAGAAAGGCAGGGAGCCCTTCATCCGCATGCAGCTGTGGTTACTGGATCAGCTCGGCCAAAGCCTCAGCCAGACCCCGAACCAGGGCCATGCTCAGGGTGAGGATGCACCTCGTTTTCCCCTCTATTAACCCCCATCCCGAACCAGCAGAACCACACAGCGATGAAATGATGTGAAATGTTCTTTATTCCAGGTAAAAGTCCAGCAACAGTGCAGTCCTCTCCCTCCCCGCCTCCCAGTCCGGCCGAGAGCCACCCGAGTCCGCTAGCTGAGCCTGTCAGTCTCTCGCTTGAGAGCAGCAAAGAGAACCAGCAGCCTGACGGCCTGGCTTTGGGGCTGCCCAGCCACCCAGAAGGTGGGAAGTCTATCCCCAGTCTGATGGGGCTGCATCAGCCTACAACCCAGTTAGGGATCCAGGAGCTTGTGGCGATGTCTCCAGAGCTGGACACGTACATCATCACCAAGAAGGTCAAGGAGGTGCTAACCGACAACAACCTTGGTGGGTGTGAGTTGACAGTGGCAGCATCATCCTGTGGGTCAAACCAAGAATATCTAATACTGCTTGTTTTTGACAGGCCAGCGTCTCTTTGGGGAGACCGTCCTGGGTCTAACTCAAGGTTCGGTGTCTGACCTGCTCTCCAGGCCTAAGCCTTGGCACAAACTCAGCCTCAAAGGCCGGGAACCTTTTGTTCGCATGCAGCTCTGGCTCAATGATCCTCACAACGTGGATAAGTTGAGAATCATGAAGAAGATGGAGAAAAAAGGTGGGAACTGAAGATCTACGCACGGATCCACCTTTAACTGCTGTTTCTGGGGCCCTGACCTGGTTTCTATTTGCTCCCCCAGCTTATCTGAAGAGGCGCTACGGGCTGCTGAGCACCGGCTCCGACAGCGACTCCCCCAGCACTCGCTCCGAGTGTGTGAGCCCTGCCCTGGCCTCGCTGGACCTGTGCCCGTTCAGCCAGGTGAAGAAACCCCGCGTGGTGCTGGGAGCTGAGGAGAAGGAGGCCCTGAGGAGGGCATACCTGCAGGAGCCCTACCCCTCCCAGAACACCATCGAGATGCTGGCGTCACAGCTCAACCTGAAAACCAACACAGTCATCAACTGGTTCCACAACTACAGGTCCGTCCAAAGGCTCCTGCGGCCGCTGCTCTCCTGCTACGTATCTTAACCCCTCACAGGGGGGATTCACCATTAGGCAGAACTAAAACTCGGTTTACATGTATGGTTAATACAACTATTCCTTATTTGTGCACATTAATTATGTTTTTAACAAAAATCCATTCGCTAAAATACCATCAGAACGCTTATAATATTAGGGTCGATCAGCCTCTCACGACCACCTCCCGATCAGGAATCGTAAGGTCGGGAGAAAATCAAACATGTTTGAAATTCAGTCTGCCATCGTAGGGTTGCATCAGAGCATCAAACCGCGCAGTGTGAGAACATGCATTGTGAGCTGTTAGCTTTTAAACCCTGCAGTTTCTTCGTACAGTTTGAGCTGTAGCTGCGTGCAACGATTGAAAATATCGCAAAGTGTATGCCCAGCTTAAACAAAGATGTTGATGGAAGCAGCACAGCTGATATTTCTCTCCAGGATGGAGTCACAGCCAAACAGGAACAGACCAGATTGTCAGGATTTGATTATGGATTGTTGACCCAAAAGCAGAGGCAGGAAGGCAGAGGTGAATTTCTTTAGATTTAATGAAAGGGAAACTGAAAACAGAGGCAGGTTATCCAAAAATCCAATAATGAAAACAAAGTCCAAACTAACATGAAACCAGGAGTCCAAAAATCCAAAAATAATCAAAAAAGAAAACCAGTCAAAACAAACCAGAAACCATGGAGACATCAGGGAAATCACTATCACAACAAGGAAGACTCAGGCAGACGGAGTTGGAGGAAGTTTGACGAAGTAAGACGGTTTATGACGAAGACCCAGCAAAGGGGAACTGAAGAGAGAGGGCTTTTAAAGGAGACTGAGACAAAGAGAGGGCTAATGGGGAAACTGGGAGCAGGTGTGCACAGAACAAGAGAGGGAAAGAGCTGGGGAAGAAGGAGAACACAAGAGGGCAGCAGAGAGCAACAAATAGAAACCTGGAAGACTGGAAATAACAACACAATGATAATTAAATTACTAGGACTATAAAACATGGAGCAAAGAAAACTAAACACTCAAAAGAAAACATAACAGAACCCAGACTTGGACAGTAACTGGAAAAAACAAAGAACACAACAAAATAAAAATAAAACCACTAACACTAGAAAACAAGGACTAAAGCAAGACTGAACACTAAAAAGAAAATATAACAGAACCAAGACTAAGACAGTAACTGAAAAAAGAATCAAAGAACTAAGTAAACTAAGAACTAGAAAAAGCTGTTTCGGAGAAACATCAAAGTGGGAATGCTTTTGCTGAATGAAAAAAGCTGAAATTACCTCAAGAACATATGAAAATGAGATAGGAAGTCATCAGAAAATTCAAACTGCAGAAAACAATTGAATCATCTGAAGATTTTGTAGGGTAGAATCATTTGGCAGTAAAATGGCAGAAACAAACTCATCTTAAAAGCTGCACAGCCAAACCATACATGATATCAAAAAATGTCTTGAATGTGGGCACTAGAAGGGTCTTAATATAATGTCTCCCAAGTTTCTAGAAAAATGTATAAAGAAATTTTGAAGGGGGGTTTACCTACTTTCCAGAAACATGTCAGGCGTGTTATGAATTAGCAGCAAACAGAAAAGCTTAATTCTTGTCCAGAAACAGAGCAGAATGAAGCCAAAGTTCACAACATAGGCTGAAAAGTATGAAATTAGCTGAAGTAGAAAAGAAATTACAAAGAAAAACTTTAATCTTATCTGGTTGAAGAAAAAATTAGTAGCTTAAGAATTGGAAGTAAAATGTTGAGGACGTTGGTATTGAATAAGTATTAACATTTTGAAATCATATGTGGAAA